ACTTTGGAGGAGATACAGTTGTTGGCGGAATCTTTCCACAGTTGAAGAATCTGGCCAATCCAAGGAGGCTGTTCGCCTTTACTCCGAAAACGGGGTATTTGCCAATCCGTAGAGAGTGGAGTGTTCATCAAAATCTTATCTGCCACCCCGACAGATTCACAAAAAAGATCCGGCGTGATGCGTAGAATTTGCGAATTGACATTAGCCGCAAGCCTGGCTTCGACACGTAGGGCCTGGAGTTTGGCAGATGCATCTGTTAAGCCCCATTTCGGAATAAAGAAGAAGTCTTCGGGGAATGCAGTTTCGCAAGGGAAAGATTCAAGCCATTTACCCTGCGTATCATTAGAAAAAGAAATGCTACAAAGATCAGCATTTTGATGTTGTGTTTGGAACAAAAAGTTGGATAGCATCCTCAACTTATAGGCAGCCATGCCAACAAATTGACATTGTTGAAGGAAGTCAGCAGAAGCGCCGCCGTGTCTGACAAAAAGCGCTAATGCTTGAGTCCAAGTGCAAACTTTGACAGCTGTCTGGCAATGTTTTTGTGTCCATTTAGACCAAAATGAAAAAACAAGAGCAAAATCCTGACTAGTGCTTCCCCATTTATTCCACTCCGTGCGGGTGGCGGGTGGGTTCCAAAGCAGTGGCAATGCATTAGAAATGCCAAGGTTATGATTTTGTATCAAATTAATGGCCAGACATCCGGCGTTGTCGGGTCTCTGTTCACCCTCCTCAGGTGTGAACTGTTGGTACAAATCGGAACTGCGATTTAACTCCATCCACTGCCACAGAAGCTGCGCGACAAGGAGCTGCAACTTATGCCAATTGTCTCGTAAGGCCATCGGCATAGCGGTGGTGCAAATCATGGCATTTTGAGCACATGGAGGCCAATGATTGCGGTTGCAGAGCTCATCAGGCCATGATTTTCTCATTTCCGCAAACCGGGGACAATCCCACATGACATGGGATATGGAGCTGTCATCATTAAGACAGTACTTACAATGAGGCGTAGCTTGAACTCGCATCAGATAAAGTCTATGTGAAGTTGCGTGCGCGTCAGAAAGCAAGCGAATGATAGGGTTACGGTAAGGCGAGGAAGGCTCAAGTGCTCGTAACAATTTAGTTGTTGCACACAAGTCAGTTTTAGTAACACCTTGCCACTTGTTGTGCTTATGTTCAAGGTATTGATAAAAATGCTTGCGGATTTGTTCGCGAATGAAGTGCTCAAATTTCTTTTTGTCAGGCTCTGTAAACAAAATACACTCATTGTTATCATTACAGATGGCATCTGCATCTGGCACAAACCGACAATCGAGCCAACTTAAATCTCTCTGAAGCAGAGTTAACCGACCAATGAGATCTTGCTTGGAAGGCATAGATTGTTCCAACATATCTTTAAGCTTCTGTGCCAACCATGGCGCTTGGATGAACACCTGTCTCCAAAATCTCATGTTATGGTACACCATGGCGGCTTCAGGATCAAAATAATGTGTATGTTCGCAGAAGACACTATGCGCAACTTGAGTTTGACATTGGCGGAATGCTGTAGCTTCAAAGATTTTTGACCGAAGATTGTCAATTTGTGCCTTCGTAGGCCTCACAGCTGAGCAAGGATAACAGATGGCAGGTATAATTTTGCGAGCAACAATGGTAATGGCATTATCATGCGTGATGCGCGATCTAGCGATTTTGTTCAGCACAACATAGCATTTTTGTAAGATTGGCTTATAGAATTCCGAAGCAGAAGAATTTTTCAACGGGAGGAGTACCCCTAAGTATTCAATTTGCTTCTGTCGCTTGACCTCATACGCATCTAGCCACCAAAGATT